GCTGTCTTTAGACGGTGGCAAGAGACAGGTGCCTCCTCCTCCATCATACAGGTCCCCTCTCCCGGTGGTGCACTGGTAACAAGGACTCAACCTGTTGCCGCCGGCGTCTCCCCACACAACCAGTGTTATCAGAGGCCGCTGGTGAGGAGTGGCTGGCCTGGGTCCGTGTTGGTTTTCACGGTTTAGTTGTGCTTCGGTGCGCGTCTGTCATGCCGGGTTACACTCACTCCGATTTCTACTGTACTTTAACATACATGAAACTATAAGAGGTTAAAATTAGTGTTTTCTTGCGGCGCGCGCACACACACACACACACACACACACACACACACACACACACACACACACACACACACACACACACACACTTCAATATTAATATACCTCTCAAGAACTGTGTGAATGCAAACACTCAAGTACTGTACCAAGCATACAAATGAACACACGCGCAAGGACGCTCGCACACGTGCACAAACACACTAAATAAATAATATGAACCAATAAGAATGAATGCCTGAAGTGTGAAGAAGTGCATCAAGAGTGAGGAAGTTGTTGACAAACTGGCATCTGGTGGAGAGCCAGCCGGAACTACTTGACGCTAGTCACTAGTAAGTGGTGTGTGATAGTGAGTGTGACGTAAACCAGGAACACATTACATGCCTCTATCTCCGTGATCTACTAACATACACAGGTCCTCAGTGGTATTTACACAGGTACAGTACTGTTACCAAGCTGGAATTTATGGACCTATATCTTCAGTATAAAGGCAACTGCATTATTTTTTGTGAATAAATACAATAAAATTAACTTGAACCTAAACGCCTGGTGGTATTTCGAAACCCTTGAAGTAATAAAATACAAATTGAGAATAATATCAAAATATAAGCGACAGTTAATTTTCCAAAGAAAAACAATAAATAATAGGGAAGTGAAGTACTGAGAAGTTACTAATAATTCATAAGTTTTGTGAGTGAGGAGCGTGGTGGCATGTGGTCACACCAGCAACACCAACAGGATATCAATACCAGTGGAGAGTCCAACCCGGAGCCACTGTGTTGCCACCTCGCCGCCTTAACCACTACACTACACTACTGGTGAATGTAATAAGTTTAAGTGTGGTGGTGTTGAAGGCGTGGCGTCAGGGACAACTGTACCCTCTCACCCCCTGTATAACATAAAACTGGTCTCCTCACTTTATGGCCTTTTTTTTACAATCATTATTATAATCCCCTTGTCATTACCCATGTTTTTTATCTTCGTTGAAATTCCTTACACATACAACGTTCTTTCACTGTAAGATTTGATATAAAATCTCTTGTCTTAAGTTACCACATACAGATATTTATTTATCTGTGGTATTATAAAAACAGTCATATGTTTTCTCAAACACTGTTAGTGGCTCCCATCAGTGTTGTGAGCCCGTCCATGGCTGTAGTCCGTAAAAGTAGCTCCAGATGATCAAGTGTGTGGTTATCGCCACCCTGGCAGCCCCCACACGACCAACACATCCATCTTGAGAGGTCCTTCATTTTTCAGAATTATTTAACCTATCGAATAACAAGAGCTTGTTCCACTGAAAAATAATACTAACTGGTCACAGGTATTCGTAGAACTGACTGATATGGCCCCCTCCAAAACGCCATAAAGGTCAGATAAAACGAACGTTAAATATTTTCTGGGAAGTAAGGTCGATAATGTTGCATTTTTCAGGTAGTCTTATCACCTCTACTGACGACCTTGATTAATGTCTTGACAGTCGGCTAACACGCACCGTCCACTAGACTACAAGATCTGTGGTACAAACTGAAGGGAAGCGTGACAGAGGACCACAATAAACGCTAAAACCCTTACCATAGTCTTCCTACACACTTATATACTTCACAAAGTACATCCTAAACCACTGATTCTAATCGTGACATAAACCTCACACCAACATACATACATTGACAAGTGTCTTACACGTTAATGAATCCAGTCCTACTGATTTCAGGAGCTTCCATTATATACTTTAAGAGTGAATGCCAGTCGTCAATTAGTTAGACCAAAGATATAATCACTGGTAATAGGTGACGTCACGGGAATATAATAATACAGTATTCTAGATGACAGTGTAAAAGGACCCTTACATAATAGCATCTATAATCTGCCACATTGTAAATATTACTTTGTAGTGCCTTAGATTCGGTACACCATCTGTTACTACCCCTACCAAATAAAGGGTGAAGTGAGCGAGACAAGGGGTGAAATGAAGAGAAGTGGTGAAATGAACTAGGCCAGTGAAGTAAAGTGAGCGAGGACACGACCCTGAAATAGTGTAAGAAAAAAATTCACATCCCCAAACCTAACTTTACTTCCTATGACTTTTTTCCCTACCCCAAATTACAACTTTTTTCCGTAACTTTTTTTTTTCGTTGTTTGCAGACACGAACTGTTTTATATTAGTGAACTATGTTGTCTGCGAGGCCATCATCATCCCCTTTCAGTATTCTCGTCTGAAACCTCAATAACCACTACCCGTATTGTACCTGTTCTACTTAGGTGTACAGTATGTACTTGTGTGTCTTAGATCTATGTGATTGTGCGTCTTAGGTGTACGTGCTTGCGTGTCTTAGGTGTACGTGCTTGCATGTCTTAATTGTACGTACTCGCGTCTCGGATGTATACGTGCTCGCGTATCTCAGTCCTGAGTGTCGGTGCCAACACTCCACGATCACATTTATCAGCATAATAATAATAAAAAAAAAACTCGATAAAATCAGTGCACACTACATCAACACGCTGTTTATCTTATCACGGTGGTTAGTCATCCGCGGAGGATAAATGGCCAACTCAATTTACAGCCAACTTGTCCTCAGGTAGCTAGTGGTGTGCAAGATGCCTGAACACTATCAGGCTAAGTTACTTGTAAGCTACAGTTGATGTGTGATGTATTTAACCCCCTTTCTTAAGCTTCCCATGTAGCTACCTTCAAGAAAATCACTGGTAATAAAGCCACCCAATGTAACTTTGCTGAGCTATGTGTACCTGGAACAGGCACCTAGGTACACTATGGTACTCGAAGATACACCAGGGGGCACTTAGGTACACTATGGTACTGGTAGATACACCAGAGGGCACCTAGGTACACTATGGTACTGGTAGATACACCAGAGGGCACCTAGGTACACTATGGTACTGGTAGATACACCAGAGGGCACCTAGGTACACTATGGTACTGGTAGATACACCAGAGGCACCTAGGTACACTATGGTACTGGTAGATACACCAGAGGGCACCTAGGTACACTATGGTACTATGGATAGATACACCAGGGGCACTAGGTGCACTATGGTACTGGTAGATACACCAGGGGGCATAGGCACACTATGGTACTGGTAGATACACCAGAGGGCATAGGTACACTATGGTACTGGTAGATACACCAGGGGCACTTAGGGGTACTGGTAGATACACCAGGTAGGTACACTATGGTACTGAAGATACACCAGGGGGCACTTAGGTACACTATGGTACTGGTAGATACACCAGAGGGCACCAAGGTACACTATGGTACTGGTAGATACACCAGAGGGCACCTAGGTACACTATGGTACTGGTAGATACACCAGAGGGCACCTAGGTAAACTATGGTACATCTTACAGTTGGTTGTATCTATTATCTAAATTGTTCGAAGTGGCTTTTTCGCCTCGGGTGAGTAACCTGAGGCGAGTTTACTGTCGGTGGCTTTTCTTCCCGATGGAATTATTTCCTACAGTCGAATTGCTATATTTTTTCCTTCCTGTTTTTCTATTATTAAGAAAGTTCTAGGATTTAGAGAGTCTGTCCTTGAAACACAGTACACCTGCATGTTTTCGATGGCTTCCGCGAAGCCTGTGAAAATAATGGCAACCAATGTTTTAGCAGTAAGATTGTTTACGAAAGCAAACAGTGGATTACTCCTGCCCAGTGTAGGTACTCTTGGGTCATTACATAAATTCGCATCGTTTCTTGTGTTTTTCCGTTTTATTTTTTTATCGGTGACCATGTATATAAGGGCCGAGACTTGACTACATACCAATTTATCCAAGAGACTCAACTGTGTTGAGTCTTGGATCTCCATGAACAACAAACCTAGTGTATTGTACTCTCATTACCTATCAGTTCTGTCCTTTGTCGTTTGATCCTCTAAAGTTGGTGCACAATTTGTGGAATAAAACTCAAAATATTCCTCTTTTTTTGATCCACTAAAAAAATATATGTTGCTATGTTTAATGCAGCACAGAATTTACAAAAAAACACAATGGCGAACAAATACATATTGTGTGAACAACAGGTATCTCAGCCACACCAATACAGTACAGCATATCCAAATAAACTATTGCGTACTGTCATCATGATGGACAGAAGCAGACGGGAAACAATCAGTACACTATAGTCGTCCACCAATGTGCCGTCTAATCTGATATAAAAATTATTAGTCTAAATTTCACCTTGTAACAAACAGTGCGAGTTAGGTGGTGTTTACTGAACCTGCTCCACCAGATCTAGTTGATAAGATTGGTGTAATCAGTGTGGGCCAACCGTGGGTGTCGCTCCCATCATTATCTCACCTCCACTTACAACCACTAAGTGATTCAATAACGAACACTACGAACTATAAATTTACCATTTACTGCTACTAGCTTCCTCCCTTGTAAGAGCCGTCCCGATGAAAAATTACACACAAACTTAAGTAGGAAATCTTTTTAAAGTAGCATTTGTGCCTGACAAGTCTTGAATATCACGTAACTGGTATTAAAATCATCTGGTCATTAATTTCACGCTTTCCGTGAAGAAAAATTATATTTAAAGATCGTTAAAATACAGGACGTCCATATTGAAATATAACAACTTTGAGGTGCCAGTGTCTTATATTTTCATTTAATGATAGAGAGAGGAATGTGCACACGGTTCATAGCCAATATTATGGTACATGAGGGAATACATTCGACATGTGCACCATTTGTAGCACGAACTATGTCACAACGGTTCTTCATTTTCCTCCACACAGTCTAACATGGCAAGTGTGACGGAGGCCATCACCGCCGTGATGCGCTCTTTCAGCTGTGCAATGTCCTGAACCTTGATGGAGTAGCTCACTTTCAACTTCACATTACCCCACTGGAAAAATCGAGCGGGGTAAGGTCAAGTGCCCAGACATCTAGAAAGGAGGGGACATCGCGGGACTTTTGGGGAGGAACTCCACCCTGTTGGAATATGAAGTTTGGTGGGCAGTTCTCTACCAGCGGTACTACGAACAGCTCAAGTATGTCTAAAGTACAAATAGCCTGTCATAAATGTTCAGCAGAGAAAATGGATCGACAATCTTGTTAAGCACTAAACCGCACCAAACATTAACTGTTGGGCTGCCTCTTTCGACCTCATGTGATATTATATGTGGCTTATCCGCTCCACTGATGTGGCAATTGTGTCTATTGGCGTGACCACATGTTGCTTCGTCAGATAATAATAATAATTAACGGTTTATTGAAAGAGCTTGGCAGCCAGAAGGCTGAAAATATACAGTTACATATTTGGGGAATGGGTTTCGAATTACAAATAATATAGTAACATAAGTGATACAAATAAGATATATAATAACTAGATGGGGAAAAGCTCAAACTACAGTGCATTTCAACATAGTGACAGTGCAAGAAGTAGTATTTACTGGGAGTGAATACACTGGTTTATTACAAGTTATTGATAATTTTTACAATGGTTGGGACTGGGCTGTTCTTATAGCGATCAGTTCGTGCACGTATGGGCTGGATGCGGTTGTGGTGTCGAACAGCAATTCTCGGGCTAGGGATGACTTGGTTCAGGTATTCAGGGCTGTTGTGGAGCCCGTGTTCAGCATAATATTTATCCTTTCGATACCATCATCCGGTATGAGGTACGGGACCAGTTAAAGCTTGTACACATAGAGCAACAGTCGTGTACGGACGACTTTAGGCACAATTGAACGTGACATTTGCAAATCGGTAGTGGCACAGCAGATGGACTTCTTTAGGCTTCTGTGGAAGACAACTCGCACACATTCAACATCCTCCCCGATGTTCTGGGCTTTCCACCACCATGTTGTATTGGACGCTGCCGGTCTCCTCAAATTTCTTCATCCATACATAAAGTTTTCTTGGTCCCTTGACAAACGTTGTGCGATATCGCCGTTGCACCAGGTAGGTGACTACAGTTCAGCCATTCATAAAACACATTCCGCCTTTTCCTGTGAGGTCGTCATAATCCAATCTGACACAAATCAGTACGATCACAGTTCACAATTCAATCTAAATCACGGAAGGACATAATAAGGATATAAAATTAAGATATATGATGTGGTATCCTTGCAAGTTTCAACATTTTCACATTCATACATAAAACAAATGATAATGCTTCAAAGTTGTTGATACAATTCAGTGTGGTCACCCAGTATGTGTACAACACCCATTACCAAATACCCGGTACATATGAACATCAATTTTGTGGGTGGTAATTCCTTCACTATTTGAGTTTTGTCCCTCTGACGAGTACTTCATGTGTGCTATTGCGTTCAAGATTTTGTCTCCAGGCATTCACCGTTATTTATACACAGAGGGAAAATACAGTGACGAGATCACTTCAACAGCATAAAATGATCACTTGCAGATTTGCCTCAAAACTTATTTCACCTGATGATTAAACATCCTAGCACTACCTGGGGGTAGGTGATTGTTGGTTAGGTTATATATTGTTAGATTACCTTTACGTTAAGTAAGGTTAGGTTAGCGTCAAGGTTGTTAATCTTAAGTGATATAAATTAGGGTGGGGTTAATCTTCAGGTGAACCAGAAAAACAATAAAGTCCTAACAACAAAAGAAACGACGCTCCTTCACCGAACACCAATGACACACAAGTAGCCACAACACACGAGCTTATTATAACACGAGCAGCAGCCTCGTGAAGATTACAGAGATGTGAGTGTATGTTGTTGACATTCTTCCTCCTACCTGTCTGCCAACACCTGTACTAAGACCAGTGGTATTAACAACCTCGTGTCTTCCTACCCACACACACACACACACACACACACACACACACACACACACACACACACACACACACACACACACACACACACACACACACACACACACACACACACACACACACACACACACACACACACACACACACACACACACACACACACACACACACACACACACACACACACACACACACACACACACACACACACACACACACACACACACACACACACACACACACACACACACACACACACACACACACACACACACACACACACACACACACACACACACACACACACACACACACACACACACACACACACACACACACACACACACACACACACACACACACACACACACACACACACACACACACACACACACACACACACACACACACACACACACACACACACACACACACACACACACACACACACACACACACACACACACACACACACACACACACACACACACACACACACACACACACACACACCATAAAGTTAATACCAACCACAATTTATTAGATTTTTTTAACTTTAAACACTAAAACAAACATTGACTAATTAGTGACCCGATATACCGACAGACCTCGTATTATATTATACTATATACTTGACCTTAACACCGGCAATACGTCTTTATAAACACACTGTATTTTCATTTCCCCTTACAAGCTTGTTTCCCAATTTCCGTCATTACATAATCCTTAATAAAACTTTATATCCTGTTGTGGTAAGACTACTCGCTCACTTCCTGTTTAAGTAGGTGTTAAGTGTTAAAGTAAGTGTTAAGTGTTTAAGAAAAGTGTTAAGCTACAGGTTATCTTTAGTGGGTTAAATAAATAAACGACAACGGATAATGGCTTTGTTCACGCCTATTAAACACATGATTCGTTGCCTACTATTTCCGTCTTTGGACTACACCGGTGTTATAAAATGATGTGAGACGACACCATGCGAGGAAACTAAGAAAAACGTAAAAAATAAAAGAGATGAGAAGGTAGTTTGGAGAATGTGAACATGAACACACACACACACAGGTACAGAAGGTACAGAAAAGGGCCTGCAGAATCATGCTCGGCACAGAATACTCCGGCTACACCAACGCTCTCTCCACCCTGGAAATGCCATCCCTCAGTGACCTCCACCACCAAGCACTGGAAAGGTTTGGCAGTGGACTTCTGCACCACCCTCGTTATCGCCACCTCCTGCCACCTGCAGCCCCCATCCAACTCGTGCAGTCCGCCACTACAACAAAATTCAGCCCATAGAGCCCGCACCGATAGATATAAGAACAGCACCATCCCATCTATTGTTAAAATAAACAACTCTGATTTATGTACTGTACAGCCCTGTAAATGTATTCAATGCACATTATATCATTATGTCTAAATCAAATGTAAGTCTGTATATTTTCAGCCACCGGCTTACGCTCTAAATAAACCGTTTATTAATATTATTATTACACACACACACACACACACACACACACACACACACACACAAAATCAGATTACGCGAAGTACCTTATGTTTACATGTGGTTGGGTTTATTTTGTCTTTTGTACAATTTGTTCTTTCTTCTCTCTCCACTCCACCCTTCCAGGACTTTACATATCAAGTACTGTGCGTATACTGTATACACAACACACATGTAAACAAATGTATATACGTGATCTAAGACACGGTGCTTGTCTCAAGACGTTACTTCACTATGGGTAAGATCACTGCATTAATATATTTCTTGTAAACCCCCTAAATATTACATTTTCGTATTAACTCTGCTACAAACGACATTTCCTCCTAATAACTGTAGCCTATACTCAACAGCAAAGAGAGGTGATAAAGTTCATTCTATGGACATAACATCACTGCTAGGATGTTTGTCCATCAGCAACCTCATGTTATTTGTGTTGTCCATGGGCCTGTAGCGTGGAGAGAGCCACGTGGGAGGAGAGCAGGAACCGGCGTCTTGGGAGGGCAAGCCAGCCACCCGCCTGGTATGTGACTCACTCCCTACATCTCTTATCTTATGCGTCTTAATTCCCATCTGAAGCTTATGTAAAGAAACTACCGGTACCAAAACACACACACCCTGACACCCGGGGACCAACACATCCACAACACACCCGGGGACCAACACACACACACACCCCGACACACCGGGACCAACACACATACCCTGACACCCGGGGACCAACACACACCACACCCTGACACACACCGGGGACCAACACACACACACACACACACACCTCTGACACACCCGGGGACCAACACACACACACTCCCTGACACACCTGGGGACCAACACACACACACACCCTGACACACACCTGGGACCAACACACACACACACCCCTGACACACCCGGGGACCAACACACCCTGACACACCCGGGGACCAACACACACACGCCCCTGACACACCCGGGGACCAACACACACACACACACCCCACACCGGGACCAACACACACCCTGACACACCTGGGACACAACACACACCCTGACACACCCAAGGGGAAACCCACAACACACATACACCCTGACACACCTGGGGACCAACACACACCTGACACACCGGGGACAACACACACACACACACACATCCTGACACACACCTGGGGACCAACACACACCTCCCACACACCTGGGGACCAACACACATCCTGGACACACACCTGGGACCACAACACACACACACACCCTGACACACCTGGGGACCAACACACACACCATCCTGACACACCAAATCAACACACACCCTGACACACCCGGGGACCAACACACACACACACACACCCTGACACACCGGGACCACACACACCCTGACACACCCGGGACCAACACACACACACACACACCCTGACACACCCGGGGACCAACACACACCCTGACACACCTGGGGACCAACACACACACACACACACACACCCTGACACACCGGGGACCAAAACACACACCCCTGACACACCCGGGACCAACACACACACACAACCCCTGACACATCCTGGAACCAACACACACACACCCTGACACCCGACCACACACCCGACACACCGGGACCAACACACACACC